TACCCTGATAAAGAATTGTTTACTATTCCCCCCAAAACCTTTGGGTGCACTTGTTTCGTTCAAATCCTTGGCCCTCATTATTCCAAATTTGATCTCAAGGCCTCCAAATGTATTTCCCATGGTTATTTCCAAACTCAAAAAGGACATTGCTACTATAAACCGACTTCTGGAAAAAAGATTGGTCTCAATGGATGTCACCTTCTTTGAGGATAAACCCTATTACCCAAGGGTTTCTACTCAGGGGGAGAATAGTGAAGCCGGGAGTAGCTCATTGGAAGTTCTTTTTCCAATCCCATTAAGTGAATAAGGATGTAATGGGGAAGGATGTCAAAGGTGCAAGGATGTGAGAGTCTATCATAGACAATGAACACAGGTCGATTTTGGACATCAGCAATGCAGGCCAGTCGCAGTCCCCTCTGTAAATCCAGATCCCGGTACCACAATAGCCCCAGTTCCTTCTATAGATYCAGATCCAGGTACCACAGTAACCGCAATTCTTTCTGTAGATCCAGATCCAAGTACCACAGATACTACAGATGAGAGACATCCAACCATGGAGCCTTCACCTTCATTTAGTGACCTTGATATCCCCATAGCAGCCCGTAAAGGCAAACGCTATTGCACCACAACTCACTACATTTCTCAGTTCCTATCCTATGATCATTTGTCTCCCTCCTACAAGTCTTTTCTTTCATCCATTGCTGATATTCACATTCCCAGAACAATATAGGAAGCATTGGAAGTACCGGAATGGAAAGATGCAAAAAAAGTAGAAATAGATGTCCTCATCATAAACAATACTTGAGAGATAGTTGATCAACCTAAAGGAAAGAAACCGATTGGATGTAGATGGGTATTCACTGTGAAACATAATGCTGATGGTTCTGTTGAAAGGTATAAGGCCCGATTAGTTGCAAAAGGATTTACTCAGACATATGGTATTGACTACTTAAAAACTTTTGCACCAGTAGCAAAGATGATCACTATCAGAGTACTATTATCTTTTGCAGCTAGTTACTCTTGGCCATTATATCAGATGGATGTTAAAAACGCCTTTCTCAATGGAGACTTGCAAGAAAAATTTTACATGCAGTTGCCTCTAGGATTTTATGGTACGGATACAAGAAATGTTTGTCGGTTTAACAAAGCTCTATATGGACTAAAACAGTCCCCTAGAGCATGGTTTGACATAGTTAGATGAGCCATTGATATGTTCGGATATGTGCAGGCTCAATCAAACCACACCTGTTTATTAAGAGAGTAAGTTCCTCCCTAACCTTGTTTGTCGTATATGCGGACGATATTGTAGTAACCGGGAGCGATACTAGTGAAAATGAGTTTCTTAAGCAATTGTTTCACCAAGAGTTTGAGGTAAAAGATCTGGGGGAACTGCGATACTTCTTGGGCATTGATGTAGTTAAATCCAAGCATGGGATTTTTGTCTCTCAACGAAAGTATGTTCTTGATCTGTTAGAAGAAACAAAAAAGTTGGGACTTAAGCCTACGGACACACCTATTAAACAAAACCACATGATTAGTGCAGAGGGTGGAGAGCCTATTAAAGATAAAGCTATGTTTCAACAGTAAGTTGGAAAGATTCTTTATCTTTGCCTCACAAGACCTCACCTCCTTGCGGTTGAAAGGATATTAGCATATTTGAAGAGGTCCCCAGGCAAAGGCATTTTGTTCAAGAAAAAGGACCACATGAAGATAGAAGTCTACACAGATGCTGATTGGGCTGGGTGTGTTGATGACCGAATATCTATCTCTGTATATTGTGCCTTTGTAGGAGGTAATCTGGTCTCCTGGAAGAGTAAAAAACAAAGTGTTGTTTCTCGTTCAATTGCTGAAACTGAATATAGGTCCATGGGAAATGGTGTGGCTGAGAGGAATTGGGTATTGTTTATGAGAAACCCTAATGTTGTACTATGATAATCAGGTTGCCATCAATTAGCCCGTAATCCAGTACAACATGACAGAACTAAGCATATCGAAGTGGATCGGCATTTTATCAGAAGAAAGGGTTAAATCTCAAGAAGTATGCTTTCCTTACACCACCTCCGACATGCAACTTGCAGACCTTCTCACCAAGGCTGTTTCAAGAAAGAAGTTAGAAGATCTATACAAGTTGGGAATGACAAATATCTACTACCCAACTTGAGGGGGAGTGTAGGAAACTGTGGACCCCACATCAAGAGTACTCATGTGGCACCCTGAGATGTACTTAGATTTAATTGATTAGGACCAGCTTTCCTAGTAGGATAAGTTTTATCCTATCTTATCTAGGATTAGTTGTATTTTAATCTTATCTTTATTACCTTGGAAGCATTAAAGTTCTTTTACAATTAGGAAACTATGTATATAAATTAAGGAGTGGGGCGGTTGTTTAATACACACCAACCACTCTCTCTTTTCTCAAAACCTCTCTACAAGTTCTCCTTCTCCATCTCTCTACTTCTCTTCTCCTCTCCTATTATATTTTCCTTTTATTTTCTGTTTGAAACCCAAGGCTAATTGTAGTCTTATACGACTACTAGGAGAAGATTTCAAAAGAGGATAAGAAGTATCTAGAAAAAGACATAAAGGAGGATGGAATCAAACCAGCTTTGTTTCAAATGGCTCCTCTAAAAGCTCCTCGACCTAATGGTTTTCAAAATCTCTTCTTTCAAAAGTACTGGAATGTGGTGGGCAATGACATATTCGGTGCTATTAAGGAGTTCTTCAAAGGAAACACATTTCTGGTGATTTCAACCATACTTACTTAGCCCTAATCCTTAAGCTCAAGAGCCCAACCTATCCAAGCCAATCCAGGCTCATTAGTCTCTGCAATACAACTTATAAAATCACAGCCAAGGTGCTGGTGAACCAAGCCAAACCTTTGCTCAATAAAATCATAAGTGAAAATCAGAGTGCTTTTACTCGAGGGAGATTAATCCAGGACATCTTAGTGGCTCATGAGATCATTGACTTCATGAAAAAATCAAAAGGAAAAAAAATCTTGGATGGCCATGAAGTTGGACATGAGTAAGGCTTATGATATAATAAAGTGGGCTTTTCTTGAAAAACTCATGGGAAAAGTAGGTTTTGGAAGTAAATGGAAGTGTAACTTCAATTTCCTATCAGATCCAAATAAATGGAGCACCATGAAGAAATATCTGACCAGAGAAGGGCCTTAGATAGGCAGACCCTTTATCTCCCTACCTATTCCTTTTTTTGCTTTGAAGCTTTATCTGCTCATCTAAACCATCTTGTTTTGCAAGAAGAAAAAAAAGGAATCAAGCTATACAGATTTTGCCCTGTGATTTTCCATATCTTCTTTGCAGATTATAGTCATTTCTTCACTAGGGCAACCCATGATGATAGTCAGGTTCTCCTTAAGCTTCCCATTGGCATGAGCTTCGATTATTAAGGGGGCAAATAAGTTTTAATAAAATCAGTCCTAACCACCATTCCAACCTATATGATGACTTGTTATCTATTGCCTAAACTGTTTCTAATGAGATGGACAAGGTTCAAAGGAAATTTTGGTGGGGTGTCTCCACGAACTAGAGGAAAATCAACTGGGTGAGTTGGAAAAAAATAAACAAAAACGAAAATAATGGGGGCTTAGGCTTCAGAGATCCATACAGTTTTTAACTTAACGCTCTCGTCCAAACAAGCGTGGAGGATAACAATCTACGGGTTAGAATCATTAGAGCAAAGTATCTGAGAGGGAAATTTACTAAACGACAATCAGTCAAAAAGAGGCTCCTCGGGTTGGCAAAGCCTACAAGATGGAAGAGAGATTCTTAGGCTAGGAGCGTGTTGGGATGTAAATACAAGTGTAGAAGTCAAAATATTGAAAGACCCCTAGTTGGAGGATATTCCAAACTTCAAGGTAATGGGTCCTAAACCCCCGAGTCCTGGCCCTTCCATGGTTAATGAGCTCATTCACCAAAACAGGAGGTGTTGGAAAGTGGATTTATTTAGAAATACATTCCCWGAGGCAATTGCGTGCCAAAWTTTCAAGATTAATCTAACCCAAGGCAACAAGCCAAAAGTCAACTTGTACCACAAGCTCTCAAAATGGCCTAAACAAGAAAAGGTGCTCTCAAGTTTAGATCAAGAAAGAACTATTAAGCTTTTTTGCTCTGCTAATCTGAACAATTTGGAAAACTAGGAATACTTCTATTTTTGAAATTTCTAAACATTATCCTAGCATTACATTTGCAACTTGCAACAGGGCCCAGGAGGAGAGGACTAAAACTTTGCTACCAAGATGGCTAAATACTTTGCAAGCTCATGATAACCCAGATCAAAAATTTTTTTTGGCAAGCTCCCCTAGAGAGCATGTTAAAAGTTAATGTAGATGGCATTTTCAAAGGGCCTGGGGTAGCAAGTTACTGACTTGTGATCCCTTTTGGCGCTTCATCAAGTTCTACTCCTCTTCAAGCGAAAGCAATGGCCTGTTTAAAAGAATTTGACAGCTCGATTCTAATTAATGTTCTCAAGTCTAAGGATCCTTCTAGGCTTCTACTGTCAGGGAACCCTTTTTTATCTATAATGATATATTATCCTATTGTAAGAGGTCAGTCCCCTCTCTTATGTAAATAGGGAAGGTACGGGAGTAAAAGGAAGTTGGGGAATTTTCAGAGACGACGCCATTCTGGCTAGTCAACCGGTTAGAACCCAACAAACTCAATTGCAATCCTTTTGTGTCTGTTGGCAGTGAAATATAACGGTATAATTCATTGACACAACATTGACATAGAACGTGACATGGAGTAGAAAGTATCATCCAAATTTCAAATAGAACAGCATGCTTCCTGCATCGCTTCGTTGAACCGTAGTCGAGACAGGAGAAGAGCAATGAGCCAGGAGAAGAGCAAAGAACGATGAATGACATCAAGACGATTTACCAAATAGTCGAGACAACCGCATATAGGAAAAAGAACGGACACAAATTCCATGCTGCTAACGCATATTACTGTAAACAGAACCACAGGATAAGACGACAGATTAACGCTAATCCGCACCGTAGTGACTTGTTGCAAAGAAACTTACTATAGACAGACTGCAGAGTTTACACATGTAACAGGTTGGTGGGATGCTTCTAACTTCTCCATAATGAGATGCACATGCAGAAGAAAACACGTCTACCAAAACTGTACTCCATCAATCCATAATTACGACTTCCAAAAGTAAAATAGAATTACAATTCAGGAAACTTATGGTTTTGTGTTGTAGGGTGGCAAGTATCCAGAACTATTTCGAAGACTTACAAGCCATATCTTTTGAGTAACCTAGAAAAACAACTCTCCAAGTGCAGAAATTACAAGATATTTCCCTTGGTACAAGTAGTGCAGCCATAATGCATTTCAAGCAGCTGCAACCTCGATATCAGTTGCTAGCAGTGAAGGCTTAATGTACTCCTCTTCTTCCTTGGGGGTATGTATAGTAACAAGATCAGGCAAGGGTGTTGTAGGACCCTGCTTGCCCTTCGGATCCCAATCGAGCATAATTTTGACTTTAATACCAAGAACACCCTGCACCAAATAACTAAATATTTGGTCAAACCGATAGTCTCGGGTCCAAATATGAAGATAATTGTAATGATAATTTTCCTTCCTAAATTTAGATGCCAAAGAAAAATCACCTCTAGACAAGGGTATTGTCAATGAGAACGAAAAATTAATTGGGCTCAGTTTGGAAACAGTACAATTGCAAATATGTACAGCATAAATACATACAAAATACAAGGTTTTGCACTCTACATATTTGCATTTGTGTGTACTACTTCCAAACTCGGCCTTGGTGTATGTTTGATAACATATTCATTGTACTCCCCATATTCTATTTCTGAAATAAGCCCTTCCAGTTCACTTACAGTTTCTACCTTTCAAGCCATTTCTATTAGATTCTTCAATTATTAAATTTGATTTTTTCACACAAAGTATACAAAGCATTACAACAAGATAGGTTGTGTTGCTGGTGCACGCTAGCCACTCATCTGGGTACCAAAGACCAAACCCATAAACCCACAACAAAGACCATACTGACAAGTAACCTTTTAGAGTGTTCTGTMGTGTAGATGAGAAATTGATGGACAGTGGACTGATTCACTGTAACAGGGACCAATCCACACATCACAACAGCTGTTATGGACTGTAGACCAGACCAAACCACAGTAGCATTCTATAGGGCATCGTGTGGATCAATCAACACCACACTTTTTAATTTTGTTTTGATTTTACTTTATTCAGATTCATGTCTTAATTTACTTCATGCAATTAAACATTAAGCTAAAATTTGAAACAAAAATAAATAGGTCAGAATTTACACTCAAATCACTTGCAGTGATATGGTTCCTGCATCAATGCAAATTTATTTGCATTGCAACCAAACACAGCCTAAATGTCTAATTTTTACAATTTATACAATAAACAAATTGAAAAAAAAAGGCTTTGGCAATAGAATATTAACTAAAAAATATTGATTTCAACAGAAATGGTAATAATATAACTTAAAAAATAAAAATTATTATTTCATTATTGAAAATATTTAAAAAACAAAATAACAAATTATCGCAAAAAAGCACAAAATCAAAATATTTATGCAATCTAATAATCTATTGGTTCATGTACTAGTTGTGGGGAATGTCCATGCCCAGAAAAGAGCTTTAGCAAAGGAGACTTCCCTTTGAGGTGGAGCACAACAGCAAATGAGGTCTCTGGCGGTGGAGAATGTCCAGATAACGTTCAACAGTAAAATGCTGCAGGGTTTAAGCCAGTGTGTGATGCATAATATAAAAAGATGGAGTGTGGACAGACCACTTCCACGAGAAATTAGTGTTGCCAACATTTTTGGGTGTGGACAGGGCCAATCCACGATATAGTGTGTAGACTGGGACCATCCACGCCCAACCAAACCAGCAATGATCACCCAGTGGCAGGGACTGAAACAGTCCATCACTCCATCCACAAGATGTAAACACATCCAAACACAGCCTTAGTCCTGGTTGATGTGCAGACGATTTATTCATTTCAACTGATAGGTTGAGAAGTCTCAGAGGGAGTAGAAATGCATTCATGCACTTTAATTTCAGAATAAAAATAATTGTAGCAGCAACACTACTGAAAGCATAATACGGTCTGTTTTGGGAATGGTGCAATTAGTTGCATTGTTGGTAGGGAAAAGCTGTCATAATCCAAGGAGAAGACCAACCCCAAAATGCTGTTTTGATTGGTCAATAACATGGCTACACCCAATTCAACACTTCACCTAGGTACAATCTAATGCTAGCTACCTCGACTACTTTATTTTTGCTTTCCTTGGGAAGGAAGGTGAAGAAGAAACAAATGGCAGAGCTTGAAATTATTGCAAAACCAAGTATGAGCAATGAAAACGAAAGAAGAAAGTTGGCAAAGCTTACCTGTCTAAGAAGAACATGTCTAACAGCTGAATCAATATATTCATTGACAGGCTGACCAGAAGAAATCATGTATCCATCCTTAAACTTCATTGATTTGGCACGTTGAGCCCGAAGCTTTCCACTGACAATTACCTGAATGTAGTAGAGGATACCAAGTTCGGAATTGCAATTAGCATGACAAATAGCCAATATAAGAAACAGCTATTGAAGGTTTGAAGCACACCTCACATCCCTTCGCCCCACTTTCCATTATAAATCTCAGCACACCATAGCACGCCCTAGGCAATAAGAGAACAGAAGCGAATCAGTTTATGAAGAGAAAACTACATGTTAACAAAACATTGTGACCTCCATAAACCAGAATACAAATGTCTCAAGGACAACATAAGCACATTGCAATTCAGATGCGCTGTAAATATAGACCACGAGGAATTGAAAATGTAGTAAAAAGGAAGAAAATATAAATACAGAAGTACCTCTTTATAAAAAAAGAGAGAACTAAAAAGTTGTTTCAGAACCAACCATCCATGCACAGTGATAGGAAAAATGTTATCATAAGCACTAAAAATTTATGAAATGGCAGGCATATTACACAAGCCAGGAACTTGCCTACAAGGAAATGGTGACATACAAAACAACGCTTTAGTGAAACATAGATCTGTTCAAACATTATTTGAACAAATGTCTTAAAATTTATCAAACAATTAGTGGAGCAAGGTAGGCATAAGAGAAGTACAAGGTATGAAGTCTGCTAGTAGGAAAAAAAATTTACAAAGCACGACAAAAAAATTATTTTAAGGTAAAATTGCATAAAAAAAATGGTAAGATGCAGCAACATCTTCAACTGGAAGCATCTCCAAGAATAAAAAAATGAGACCATGCCAACACAAAAGGCTCCAAAATAGGAACTTTTGATACTACATAAATGAATAAACAATAGACAAGGAAACAAATAGAATAGATACTTAGATAGGGATATACATAGTGATGTAGGAATATAACCCATACTCCTTGTACTTGGTTACAGTGCAAGGAGCCTAACAAACCCCATTAGATACTCAATGTTCGCATTGATGTGATGCCTCCAGAGCCCATAAACAGACTGGAGAAAATAATCAATGCTAACACCACAGAAGGCAGGAAATTTTACAATGATTCAAGTGTTGTATTAATTAAACTTCATTTAGCCATTTCATAATAAACTAATATGTATTCAATTTTCTAAGTTAGTTTGCAATGAAGGATTACTTTTATTGTGCCACCAGGTTAACTCAAAAACCTCTAACGAATCAAGAAGTTTCAACCACCAAGTTCTTTGGGTCAAATGCAGCAAAACCTGCAACTCAGGATCACTGCATTGTGAAAGGAGTTGAGTTGGGGCGAGGGAAAAGTCTTGGAAGAAAAGCATAAAGGAGGCAAGAGTAGCACTAAATAGACAAAATTTACTAACATGTAGATAACTAAAGCCAGATAAAATGAACTGTGTGCTGACATTTCATTCATAATTAGCTTGTAGAAACTGTATTTATATAGTCATCTTCCGACACAAAATTGGTAGCAGAATAACCTATTTGCTTTATAGATGACCAAAGTGGTAATGGATATATAGCAAATAAAAGATTAAAAAGAACACAAGCAGCATTTCCAGATGGAAAGAGAATGGGCCAAATAAAGTAAATATACGTGTAATCATTTCATGTGCCCTCCCTATGGTAACTACATGAACAATTAGTCATTTCACGAGGATGATGATATGAAGGGACACCATTCGTGTAGTCATCTTCCGACACAAAGTTGGTACAAAAACAACCAATTTGCTTTGTGGATGACAAAATTAACGAAAACTGATTTTAGTAGACAAGATCCATGAACGGGAAGCAAAATTAGACAGGCAACAATGGTATCGTCTAATCTTTAGTAATGGTATTATGATCTTTAGATTGATAATGTCACAGACCACAACCTAACTAAAGGCTAAAAAATACGAGAATAACAGTTCATACCTAAATCACGCAAGTGACATGCATACACAACAGATTGTTTGGGGTTGGATACTTATAGTAACAGTACAGCATTGACAATATTACATATTTACATATTCAACGCAATAGCTAATGACAATTATGTACCACTGGGGGTGCAATTTGGCACATCCATCAGCATATTGAGCATTGCAAAGTGCATAGAATGTCAGATAATGATTCCTATCTATAGAATCGGCAGCAGGGAGATCTCCCATTCACGCTAACATCAATGGAACACTTAAGAATTATTCCTTGAAATTTGTAGCATGGATGGAAACACCAAATGTTGTCATCCTCAGACACGAGATGGATAATGGGATCCAACTCGCTGTAAAGATGACTTGGAGAGATGGAAAATGTGGGGTAGGAAACCAAAACACTCTAGAAGATAGTTTATGGAGTATTAACATCGACAGACTCCCTGATTAGTAAAGTAGTAATGGTATAGAACTGCATACAAAGGATAACATATACCTCCGAACGGCAAGGCCACCCAAAAGCTTGTAACGCAGAGATTCGGCCTGAGCAATGGCGCATAGACCTCTGTTATTAACCTTCTCAGCGTAAAGTTCCACACTATTCTCCGGGAACTTAAATCGCTTCTGCACGACGGAGGTAAGTTCCCTGATCCGTCTGCCCTTTTCACCTTGAAAACATTTGCCAAAACCCTTAACACCTAATCATAAAACTGAAATCATCAAAGCCAAGACAGAAAGTAACAGTCACGCAGTTACCGAGAACGTTCTGGGTCCGAGTGGCCCTGATAATGATCTCAGTGCGCATAGGCGTTACCCTGACCTCGACACCGGAGTAGCCGTCCTCAGCAAGCTCTCTGGTGAGAACCTCATTAAGCTCCGCGAAGAAAACTCCGTCAGCAACGAACTGCAGCAAGAAAACAAAACAGAAGTAGTCGACATCAGAAACACTGCAAGTCCCATTTAAAATAGCACAAAGAATTGAGATTCGGTGAAGAAATAGATCGAAGAGCAGAGATCTATGAGAGAATAAGTGAACAACCTTTCGCTTTTTGCTCATTTGAGTCGCCATTTTTTTGTAGAATTTAGAAGAAAAGCAACGCGAGTTGCTGAAAATTTGATCCGAACAATTGTTCACGTTGTTGCTCTGCAAAACCCTAATTTACTAAGAATTTATAGGGGAGTGGGAACCTAGTCTTATTTCTTATGACCATTGTACCCATGCATGATGTATGGAATCAGTCGTGTCCTTCTCGGCTTAAACCGTTGGATCGGGGCTTCCTAATACAGGATTGACCATTGCTGAGTAAGAGGATGCCTTTGAGTCATTACACACAGAGGGAAAATAGGTATTTCCAATTTTGATCTAAAATCTCAGCCAATCTAATAATTTTCCTCGGTTAGAGATTCCAATCCAACAGCGTTAGTACAAAGAACTCGAACTCGTAAACCATAGAAGACCAAATGCTAGGACGCCAGGTCGTGTCGCTCACGACTCCAGGATCTCCTGCGAGTGCCCACATGAATCCTACCATCTGCCCACATGACACTATTGTTGTATATTCAGAACATCTCCCATGAATTGTAATAGGTAAATACACGATCCTTGTCTCAAGAGAAGCTCGGCAAGAGAGCGGTCTCGGCAAAAGAGCAGTGATCAAATCTCAGGAACTGTGTATGCGTTTTTTTCCTTGGACTGAATAGAGAAGAGGAGGAATAAGTAATGGAGAGCTTGGAAGCTGGATCCATGGAGAATCAGCCAAGGATACTGATCAAAAACTCAGAATAGAAATGTGGACTCTATGCCAAGGTAATATCTGACAAACCTCTAAATGTCTCAAGATTTATAGAATAGATCAAGAGTTTGTGGTGGTGGGTTAAAGGAGTACCCACTCATCCTGAAAGAATATCTGGATGTGGTAGTACCCTCAAAAGTGGAGATGAATACCATGGATGTTTGAGTGAGAATCTTGAATATTCCAATGGGATACAAAACAAAAGAAACTAGAGCTATCCTAGCACAGTCTTCAGGGGAAGTTTTGGAGATAAACTTTGAGGAAGACAGAAGGAAGAATGGAATATGAGAACCGATTTGAATGGATATGGGCCATGGCTAAGAGCTAGAGTTGGGGAAGAGAATGATAGATTTCTGAATATTGATAACAGAAAAAAGAACAATGGAGAGAGAACAAGATCAAGCTGAGCTTAAAGCCTTTCAAAAGAGGTAAGTCGTGCCTCACACTCCAAGCTTTACCTAATTTAGYAGGTGAGAGAGAGGGTACCGAAAATCAGAAAGGAAAACAGGTTGCCAAAGACAGGAAGTCAGCAGAAGAAGAGTTGGAGGTGTCCTCAGAAGTAAATGCTCTTAATGAAGAAGAGACAGATGTCGACAGTCGAACTGATTTATGGGGAAAGGGGAATGATGAAGAATCTGATATGGGTTGGCAGCACGACCCAAATAAAAGGCACCTCAAACCTAGAATCAAACCCGGGTCTGGACTCAAATCTGGACCCAAACCCGTACTCTCTCCTGGATCCAAACCTGGACTCCCTTCTGGACTCAAACCCGGACTCCTTTTTGGACCCAAACCTGGATCCCTCTCTGGACCAAACAAATGCACATGAAAGAATAAAACCATCGATTGACGAGTTCAATAGAGAAAAAAGAGGGAGAACACCGAACCAGGAGGGAGAAGCAATAGAACAATCCAACCGAAGGAAGAGAAACCAAGAGAAAGAGGATCAAGGATTGGAAGGTATAGAAAGGGAGGTTCTTAGTTTTTTCAAGTGCGACATCAAGCAACAAATGTCAACCACATCTAACTGGATCTGGCAGGCAAATTGCGAACAGGTACTTCAAACTCATGATTTTAAACCTACTTTACTCCATGGTTTCTCTGATGAGCTAGCAATAGATAGTTATAAAAATACCAAATTTTTTCTGAACTCAATATAGCACATATTTAACTCCATGCCGTATGAATCGGTTCACAAAAGAAAGGGAGGAAAAAAACAAGACAAAAACAAAACACACTAAGAAATAAATGTTTAAGTACAGAGATCAAAGAAAGAGCTTGTTGTGGAGAGTAATTTTTAACAATCATTCCAAACTCCAAGAAAATGAACAAAAATGCAAAGTCAATAGATATGGGTGTAGGGGGGAAAAGAAATGGAGATGCCAAAGACCTATGCTTACTCACTTTCTACAGGAAAAAAATTGTAAACCCAAACTATGGAGGCAAAGATTAAAAAAAAAAAAAACACCCAAATCACATAGATTTTGATTGATCAAAAAATGTAGAAATTGTTGGGCTTGTGAGAATTAACCCAGAACAATTTCCATTGTGGAAATGAAAGCTCTCTACTAGAACTGTCAAGGTGTGGGATCCCCCTTGACAGTTTGTTCAGCAAAAGAGGCTTAGAGGAAAAGTAAAGCCCAAATTATCTTTCTGAGTGAAATTAAGTGTAGTCTCTTAGTGTGTAGGAAAATTTTCAAGTGCTGGAAGGATTGGAATTGTTGGGGTGTAGATGCTAGGGGTTTAGCAGGAGGTCTGGCCCTTTCTTGGGATGAAAGTTTGACCATTCAAGTTCTAGCAACAGATAAAAATCCAATTCACACCAAGATAACAAAAGCAAGTACTAATAAAGAATGGAATTGCACTTTTGTTTGTGGAGAGCCAAAAAAAAAGCAAAAGAATACAATTCATTCAAAAGTTAAATTACTTAACAGATAAAACTGTAGGATCTTGGTGCTGCATTAGTGACTTTAACATGCTTTTTAACTTGGATGACAAAATAGGGGGAAAATCAATAAAAATGAGGGAAATTAGGAGGAATAGGACTTTCATGCATAACTGTGACTTGGAAGAAATCCAGAGCCTAGGCCCAAAATATACATGGAACAACAAAAGGAACAAGGAAGCCAATGTTAAAGAAAAACTTGATAGGGGCCTATGTAATACAGAGTGGAGAGAAAATTTCCCTGATGCAAAAATCATAGTCCTCTCAAATCAAGGATCAGACCATCTTCCAATATGCCTGGACACAAGCCCAATAATTTTTAAAACTAGGAAACCATTCAGATTTGAAGAAATGCGGCTTACCCATAAAAATTGCGAAAAGGTTATTAAAAAAGGCTGGACTGAGAAACATGATGACCATTCAGATTTCATTGTCCCCAAAAAATGTGGAAATTTAAGTAGAATTCTGAAAAAATGAAACAAAAAAGAATTCGGGAAAGTTCAATTGTGCATGGAAAATCTGAGAGGGGAGCTCAATTTAGAGAGGGGGGAAAATGGTCCAATTATGATCAAGAAAAAGTAAACCAAATTGAAAAACAATTAGATGAGTGGATAAGAAGGGAAGAGATAATGTGGGCACAAAAAGCAAAGGTTAATTGGATTAAATTTGGGGAGAGTAATACAAGGTTTTTCCATAATCAAACAATTAGAAGGAGAGCAAAAAATAGAATTTTAAAGCTAAAAAATGAAACGAGAGAATGGATAGAGGGACAAGAAAATATCCAAAATATTATGGAAAATCATTTACAAAAAAAATTATTCAACTTCTTGTTCTACAGCTATGGAAATAGCTCTACAAGGCATCCAATCAATTATAAAATGAAGCAATCAATGAAAATCTATAAAAGGGTGTCACTAAAGAGGAGATCAAGGAAGCCTTGTTCCAAATGGCTCCCAGAAAAGCCCCGGGACTAGATGGTTTCCCCAATCTTTTTTTTTTCAATCCTTTTGGGAGATATTAAAGGAAGATGTAGTAAGGGATGTGAAATGTTTCTTTCACTAAGGAGAGATAAACAACAGTCTCAATTTAACCTTCATAGCCCCAAAAATCAAAAATCCAGAAAATGCATCATAGTTTAGGCCAATCAGTCTCTGTAATTTTGTGTACAAGATAATTGCAAAAATTTTAGTAAACAGAAAGAAACCAATTTTAAATGATATCATTTCAGAAAACCAATGTGCCTTTATCCTGGGGAGAGTCATTTCTGACAACATCTTAATTGCTCATGAAGTAATGCACTATATGATTCATACAAAAGCAAAAAAAGGCTTCATGGCAATTAAGTTGGACATGAACAAAGCCTATGATAGAATTGAATGGGATTTCTTGAAGTTAACTATGCAGAAAATGGGCTTTGGTAACAAATTTATTTCATGGATCATGAAGTGTGTATCTATAGTTACTTGTCAAGTCCTAGTAAATAGTTCCCCATCAAGAAAATTTTGCCCCCAAAGAGGTTTAAGACAAGGATATCCCCTATCTTCGTATCTTTTCCTCTTGTGCTCATGAGTATTCTCATCCATCATTAAGCAAAAAGAGGTCCAAAAAGACCTATCTGGAATCAAAATCTATAACCAAGCTCCAATAGTATCTCATTTGTTTTTTGCAAATGGCAGATACTTTTTCTCTAAGGCAAATCTTAAGGAAGTTAGTGCTCTGTTGGAAGCCATCTCCCTGTATGAAAGAGCCTCCGGGCAACAGGAGAATTATAAAAAAATTGAAGTTTTCTTTAGTAAAAACATGCATCCCAAATTTAAAAAGATGGTTTCAAATGTGCTTAAAGTTAAAAGAGTAAACAAGCCTTCTATATATTTGGGAGCTCACCCTCTTGTTCATAGGAAAAAAACCAAAATTTTCAACACCTTTTGGAGAGGGTGTCAAGCAAAGCCAAAGGTTGGAGGGGATCTTTGCTCTCTCAAGAAGAGAAAGAAGTCCTCCTGAAGTCTGTCTTGACTACAATTCCAATCACTATATGTCTTGTTTCTTACTCTCAAAGAGCATTTGTAATTATTTGACAAAAAGAAAAAAATCTTTCTATTGGGGAGATCAAGAAGGAAAGAGAAAAATAAGATGTGTAAATTGGAAGTAGATATGCAAAAACAAAACAAATGGGGGGTTAGGTTTCAGAGATCCCAGAGCTTTTAATCTTGCTCTTCTTTCCAAATTAGCATGGAGGCTTGTTTCTGATACTACAAGTTCATGGGCAAGAATTTTAAAGAAAAATATTACCCGGACCACCCCTTCATTCATGCAAAGCTAAGAAGCCAGCCCTCATGGGGGTGGAAGAGTGTCCTAGAAGGAAGAAAAATTCTAGAAAAAGGAATTTGTTGAAGAGTGGGTAGTGGAAGCAGTAT